GATGATAAATCATACAAAGCTATTTTAGTGGGCTACGAAGCAAATGGCTTAAAACTGTGGGATGCTGTTCATGAAAAATTTCTCGTTGCAAGAGATGTGGTTGTCGATGAAACCAATATGGTTAATTCTAGGGCTGTTAAATTTCAAACAGCATTCCTGAAAGATAGTAAGGAAAGTACCAATAAAAATTTCCCGAATGAAAGTAAGGAAAATAAAGAAACAAAATTCCCGAATGAAAGTAAGGAATGCGACAACACACAAATCCTGAATGATAGTAAGGAAACAGATGAACATTTTCTGAATGAGAGTAAGAAAAGAAAGCGAGATGATCTCCTGAATGAAAGTAAGGGATCAGACAACCCGAATGAGAGTAGGGAAAATGAAACAGCAGAATACTTCGATGAAACTGGATATGTTAAGAATCCAGTTGGAAGTGATGGTATTGAAATAACGAGTAGAAGAAGTGAGAGATTAAAAACAAAGCCCCAAATATCATATTATGAAGATGATAATAGTTTTGATAAATTTGTATTAAATGCTCACACTGTCTTCAATGATGTTCCAAATACATACGATGAAATTCAGTATAGGAATGATAAGTTGTTTTGGGAGGAAGCCATAAAAACAGAGTTAAGTGCCCATGAACTAAATAATACCTGGACAATCGTAGAAAGTCCTACACATAAAAACATAGTAGATAGCAAATGGGTATTTTCCGTTAAATATAACGAACTAGGAACTCCTACTAGATATAAAGCAAGATTAGTTGCACGAGGATTTACTCAAAAATACCAAGTCGATTATGAAGAGACTTTTGCTCCTGTAGCTAGAATTTCCAGTTTTCGATTTATATTATCGTTGGCAGTACAATATAACTTAAAAGTCCATCAAATGGATGTAAAAACAGCATTCTTGAATGGCACGTTAAAAGAGGAAATATATATGAGACTTCCTCAAGGTGTACAGGGCAAAGGTGGCAATGTATGTAAATTGAATAAGGCAATTTACGGTCTCAAACAAGCCGCTAGATGCTGGTTTGAAGTTTTTGAACAAGCATTGAAAGACTGTGAGTTTGTTAACTCTTCCGTAGATCGCTGTATATATATCCTTGATAAAGGTGATATCAAGGAAAATATTTATGTGCTGTTATATGTTGATGATGTGGTTATAGCTACGGGAAATATGACAACAATGAATAAATTCAAAAATTATTTAATGAAAAAGTTTAGAATGACCGACCTAAAGGAAATAAAACATTTTATTGGAATTAGAATAGAAATGTATGAAGATAAAATTTTCCTGAGCCAAGCTGCATATGTTAAAAGAATCTTAAGTAAATTTAACATGGAAAATTGCAATGCAGTTAGTACTCCCTTACCAAACAAACTAAATTATGAGTTACTTAATTCAGATGAAAACTGCAATGCTCCATGTCGTAATCTCATAGGATGTTTAATGTACATAATGCTATGTACACGTCCCGACTTAACTACTGCAGTAAATATTTTAAGTAGATATAGTAGCAAAAATAATTCCGAGCTATGGCAGTGCTTAAAAAGGGTCCTTAGGTATTTAAAAGGAACTATTGAAATGAAACTTATTTTTAAAAGAAATGCTGAGTTTAAAAATACATTAATTGGTTTTGTAGATTCTGATTGGGGAGGAAACGAGATTGATAGAAAAAGTACCACAGGGTATTTATTCAAAATGTTCGATCTAAATTTAATTTGTTGGAACACAAAGAGGCAGAACTCAGTAGCAGCCTCATCAACTGAAGCTGAGTACATGGCATTATTTGAAGCTGTGAGGGAAGCGCTGTGGCTAAAATCTCTTCTTAGTAGTGTTAATATCAATCTCGAAAATCCAATTAAAATTTACGAAGATAACCAAGGCTGTATCAGTATAGCAAATAATCCCTCATGTCATAAACGAGCCAAACATATTGATATCAAATACCATTTTGCCAGAGAACAAATTGAAAGTAACACCATTTGTCTTGAGTATATTTCCACAGAGAATCAACTTGCTGATATTTTCACAAAGCCACTGCCTGCCGCTAAGTTCTATGAAATACGACACGAGTTGGGATTACTACAAGATGACTGATCCGCTGTTTGCTGATGCCGAAGTTTTTTTTTATTATTTTGAATTTAATCGATCTCATTAAATACTTTTGTTCATTTTTGTATAAGCATTAAGTTATTGAAATTTAAATTTTTCTGGATTTTCCCCGTATCCTTGCAGCAAATGCTGGATCATATAACTATTCCCAGAATGCACACCACCCACACTAAGTACATAACATTAACAAGTGAATATATTATGTTAAGTTTATAATTTTATAGATGTTATTTCTGAGGGGGCGTGTTGGAATACCCCTATTCCTATTCAGAAATACCATTGAAATACCATTTAGTATATATCCTTTTTGGCTTTAATGAAGACATAGCCTTTGGTCATACTGACCGATCTTCTTTCTCTTTTCTTGTGACCTTTTCTCGAGCTAAGTTGTGGTGCTGGTGTTGCGGTATAATTAAAACATAAATCATAACTACATCTGTGTCTTTACTGGGTATAATTAGCGTCATAAACAATAAATAAAAACAAATATCATCACCTACTTTCAACTGATGGTGGATGGTGGATGGAGCTCTGCCTACCTATTAAATACCGAAATATATTGGGAAGAAATTGAAAACAAAACTGTGTTTTATTACATGGATCCATGATCTTGAGCCAGCCAAACAAAACACTTTTATTTTATGCAAAAAAAATTGCTCATTTCGACCAGTGTGATATGCTTAGCTAGCAGTTTTCGTCGTACTGAGTAGGTACTAGGCTTTAAGGCTTTAGTTACCTATTTGCCTCTCGCTTACTCCTATGCTTAGCTAGCAGTTTTCGTCGTTCTGAGTACTAGGCTTTCAGAGAAAGACCTGCAGATCTACTTCCTATTCAAAGGTTGACAGCCTGTGCATACAGAGGAGGTTTTTGTTGAAGCGGAAAATGACCTCTTTATCTCTACAAGAAATGAATGACATAGAAAGAGACATGAAATGTCGCTAAATGAGGCCGCGTTTTCAATATTTTAGTACTTATACTCAGTATTTATGTATAAGCGTAAGGGCGATTTTTGTTTATGTCGTTGGGAAGGGAATGCATTTGCTCTGCAATGACCCAAGAAAATATAAAGGTTGTTATTGCGAACAATTTCATCCTGAAAAGAGATATTACTATGACTTTTTTTAGGGAATGATCAACATCCAGCGTATTTTCTTATTGGCAAGACCTAGCAACTGTTGCACCAAAACATTATACGCATTTCTACTTCTTTTAATATTTTGCCTGCGCCTACGCTTGCCTTGATGGAAGTCTCATTCCTAGACAACTCGCTAATAACAATCAAATCATTTGCCGCTAAAAATATTAAATGGCTCATTTCCCATGACAGAAAGGGAAAGCAATATTCGCGCTCTCCGGTGCTTGTTTTGCTGTTCTCTTCTTACACGTTGCGCTGTTGTTGCTTGGTGCAAAGTTGCTAAACAAAAATCGTTGTCTTTACTAGTAGGTCTTGCAAATACAACAATTTTATTTTACCACTTCGTGAACAATTGATGAAGCAACATGAGTATAATTATTTTTTTCGGAAATCGCGTGTATTCCGGCGTACAGAATTTTTACAATTTTAAATTCACTTTAAAAATACTTAATATAAAATTAAAAAATTTTTTTAAATATTTTTCTGAACGATATTAAGGTATTAAGTTGCATTATATTATATAATATTAAAATACCCCAAACGAGTCTCAAGTGCTGCCTAACTGAAAAATCGGAGCTAATTTACAAAAATATTTTTTAAAAATAAACGGTAAGAGTTAAAATAAACAAGAAAGGAAGCTACCTTCGGCCAGCCGAAGCTTATATACCCTTGTAGATAAAAGAATACTCACTCGGTGCACTTCCAGGGATTCTAGATTCAGCGTTTCGATTTATTTCAATTTTGTTTTTAAGTAGTCAAGAATCAAAACGCCTACTTCCTACAAAATTACAATGAATTTTCTTATATTTGTTTGGGAGCCTTAAGATATAGTGGTCCGATCCGGCTGGCTCCGACATATGTACTACCTGCAATAGAAAGAAGGCTTTCGGGAAAGTTTCATCGCGATAGCTTTAAAACTGAGAGACTAGTTCGCATAGAAACGGACAGACGGACAGACGGACAGACGGACAGACGGACAGACGGACAGACGGACATGGCTAGATAGACTCGGCTATTGGTGCTGATCAAGAATATATATACTTTATATGGTCGGAAACGTCTCCTTCACTGCGTTGCAAACATCTGACTGAAATTATAATACCCTCTACAAGGGTATAAAAATAAAATAAAAACCGATCCTTATATTTTAATCCTCTATCGAAAAAAAAGTTTCGATTGATTGTGAGATTTGACCCAAGTTGGCCTGTCGCGTTTCACGTGGAATGAGCCATATGCTAGCGTTCCAACTGTAATTAGTTTTGAGTTGTAATCCATTTTAATTTAAGTACCACTAAATTTGCACGTCATCAACCTACGGTTTCGAGGTTGTTTGTGATCAGCTGCGCTCTTAAAGTATTCTCTGTGGGAACACAGTTGCAGTCGCTTGCAACAGCGATTTGCAATTTTAAGCGGCTGTGTGCAGTGGATATTAACTGGTATTAACTGTTCGCCTAAATTGTGATCACCTTCTGTAGAAAAACTCTCAAATAATGGTTTTTGGGGTGTCAGGCTTTCCAAGAGTCTACTCTTAGTATGCTGAACTCTAGAAAAATATGGTATTTTATATGAGAACAGGTAAAGGCTGTGATTACATGACATAAATGTTAAGTGTTTATCAGTCTGTGGGATTGGCCTATAAGTAAATTTTTGTTACTGTACATATATTTTTGTAAGGTTGAAGGGACTTCCACGGTCACACTCGTGTACACGAAAACTGCTCGTCTGCTCTCTCTTTTTTAGGTTTTTTTCCGTCTCCCTTTAGCAAGTGTAAGAACGAACGGGCATAGTCAGTGCTGGAATTTGTTAGAGAAAGAAAAAACAATAATAAATATTTTTCTTTCATTCCAAACAAAAGATTACTGCACATAAAAACACGTCAGTGGTAGAGGGAATCTGGTTCGGGCTAAATCAATTACAAACCTACTTTGATTCCAAATCTAAACATTTGTTGTGAGACAGTCCAGCCAAAGCTGATTTTTTGGTGTTGTCTTGTTGCGTAAAAGGTAAACTGTGAAATCCTAATATGGACGAGAACATAAAAATGTTTACTGAGGGCATCATAAATAAATATGTTTGGCCCGATAAGTCTTAAGTGCAGTCGTTCATACGGGTGAATTTTATGTCGCTTATGTACATATTTTTTGTCTCACCGTCGCCATTTTTAATCGGTCTTTCCCTGTGTTACTTGATTGTACTATATCCATCTCTTTCGCGTGCTCTGTAGAACTGGCGTCGCACACTTCTGTGTTGAAAAACGCGTCTTAAAATTATAAATAAAAGGTCAACGTTAAATAAAAAAATTTATTGTGGGTTCAAGTGACTTGCAGGCGCGATGGAAGACCTCACCAAGAACATAATCTTTACAAATGCTATTAATGGGCAACCAGCTACAATCCAGTACCAGACCGCGGATGGCACAATTCTTAAGCAGCCTAAAATTGAAGGCCAAAAAGCGGAGCAGCAGCCCACCTTCTATTACACGACAAATGTAAGTGCAAAATTTACTCTAAGTAAACAATCTCACCTATTCTAACCTTTTTCTTTCCGCAGGGCAATGGCGGCACCGTCAATCTTGCGCAGCTGGCCACCACGGATGACAATAAGACATGCTACATAGCCCAGCCAGTGGGCGGCTACAATTACGCCCTGGTAAATGGTATGCCTCTCAATCAGGGCGCAGCACTGGGCATTGCCACGGTAGACGCACAAGGCCGTATCCAGATCGTTAACCAGAACAAACCGATTGCAGCTGTAAGTGATAGTTTAAAGTTCGTATAGTTTAACAGAACCTAATGTCATTCCTCCTTGCAGAACACAATATCTAACATTAGCTTCAAGTGTGACGTATGCTCGGATATGTTTCCACACCTGGCCCTGCTCAATGCCCACAAGCGAATGCATACAGAGGGGGAGCAGCAACAGCAGCAACAACAACACAACTCCCAGCAAGCAAGCAGCGACTCTATAGCCGTGGTAAGCGCCCAGGGTCTAGTACAGACACAGAATATCATTGGCAATGGCCAAATGGGGCAGATACAGATAGTGTCTTCTGACACGCTGGAGCCAGTGCAGCAAGCAGTAATGCAGCAGCAGCAACACGATTCAAAGGCAAGCAAGTGTATGAACTGCGGCAGTCCCATACTTCAACAGTCCAAACGCAAAGGTCCTAAGCAGGTGCGTTGCGAATCCTGCATGCAGGCAGAACAAGCGGCTCAACAACAACAACAGCTCTTTGTGGCGCAAGACGGTAATAGTGGAGCTAAACTCAATTGAGAAAATATAAAAATTTCATTTTGTTCAGGTCAAATGGCTCATCCCGTGCAGATCATATCAACTACACCTCAGGCACAAGCACAGCTGCAGCAAATTGTGGCCGCACAGACAGGAGGTACGACGCCCAAACGGGAAGCGAACAGTGGATCGGGCCATCACCCAGTTAAAAAACGAAATTCTCAGCAGATGACCAAGTGCCAAAAGTGCAATGGCTCAGGCGTTGTGCTGGTGGGCCAGCACTCACACGCCGGTCACAGTGGAGCTGCCGGATCGATAAAGCAATCGGTTACTGTCAAAACTGAGTGAGTATGCACTTTAATCGAAACCCAATCCTACGCTAACCAAACCAAGGTGTTCGTCCTGCAGGAATCCGTCGAAACCCTTCAGTTGCAATATATGTGGTGGTCTGTTCTCACGTTATTCAAGTCTGTGGTCACACAAAAAACTACACAGCGGCGAAAAGAACTACAAGTGCAGCATCTGCGGATTGGCCTTTGCGAAGGCCGTTTATTTGAAAAACCACGCACGTATTCACACAGGCGAAAAGCCTTATAAGTAATGACGCTCTTTTTTTGGGTTTTATTTGTTTTTTTTTGTACTAAATGTTCTTTCACACAGATGTCAAACATGCGGCATGCAGTTCTCACAGTCGCCCCATCTTAAGAACCATGAACGCACGCATAGCGGCGAACGACCCTACGTCTGCGGGGTGTGCGATAAAGGATTCGCGCGACACGCTACCCTTTGGAACCATCGGCGTATCCACACGGGCGAGAAACCGTACAAGTGTGAAATTTGCGGTTCGGCTTTCTCTCAAGCAGCGCACCTGAAGAACCACGCTAAGGTACACTCTGGGGAGAAGCCCTATAAGTGCGAAATTTGCTCGGCAGCGTTTGCTGATCGTTTCGCGCTTAAACGCCACCGCGGTATACACCAAAAGTACGGCCAAACAGCGCCCCGTCATACCAGTAGCGATGGAATGATAGTGCACAAGCAGGAAATTCCAGACATGGATGACGAAGCTCAACAGGAGGTGATTATTGGAGGATTATAGATAACACTAACGAAATCAAATGCGAAAGCGGTTGGTTCGACCGAGCAGCTGCTGACGTCGAACTATGACATTGGAGCTTACCATTCTCAGCCGTTTCTTGAAGGCTATTATCAGTTGCCACCAGCGCCTATGCCATCCCCAGATCCAATTCGGAAGACGATTTTCTCTCCTCAGAAATATTAAAGGATGGACGATGCTCTATCGCTAACACTAGAAACTATGCATCGCATATTTTTTTTACTACATCTTTCCTGTAGGCTCTATAAAAATGAGCGAAATCCAAACACGCTTTTTAAGTTACACAAACGAAGGAACATAATTTATTTGGTAGCTGTAAAAAATACCTAAACTTTCATATAAATATTAAACGCAAATATGTATAGGCATAGTAACTTTAAGTGTTATAGACTATTTCCTTATGCAAATTATAGGTGTAATTAAATGGATTTGTAAGAGGGAGGGCATGATGGTGAGCCGAGGGAATCTGCATAGGAATGCGAATATATATATGTATATGCGTTCAATATAAAATTATTTTTAAGATAACATTTATTTAACTTCATTTTATGTGCATCTAGGTAAGTATTAAATATTACACAAATCAAATAAATATCTGAATAAAATGACAATTTTAACTAACCCACTTCAATTAAGAATATCATGCACTAGAACAGGGGTTGATCTGCGGAAACTAAATTTTTCTCACGACAAACTACGTACTAAATATATGTATATACGTAACACAAGTATTAGGGTGTACTTTTTTAAGATCGATTGAGCTCAGCATCTAAAATGTCCAATAAATGTACATAAGGGCGGTTCTTTTACAAACCGAACACATTTTCTGGGGTCACTTTTTTGACGGCAACACTACTACTATTTTGACCGCGCCTGTATGCTTTTATGTTTTTTGACTAGGTTTTCTAAAATTTGTTTCTCCCTTAAGGGGAGAACATTTTATCGAATTTTTTTTGACACCATAAAAAATATTTATTAAAATTTTTTTGCCGACGTTGTTTAGTTCATGTTTCTGGGTACTTATTAAAATTTTTTCATAAAAAAATATTAAATAATAAAAATGTTATAGCCAAATTCCAAGATCGTCTTTTTTCGATGGTGACTTGCGGTGGACATCATATCCCAAGAACGGTTCATCTCAAATCCCCAATTCAAAAAAATTTCGTTAGTATATTGTATTGCCTAGTTTCTGAACGAAGGATTTGTAAAAATTTTGATTAAAAAAAAATGGCGACGGTTTTAACAAAAAATTCACTTTTTCAAGGTATATCATTTTAGATTTTATGCTCTAAAAAAAGAAGTTTTCCAAAAAATTTAAAATCCTTCGTTATTGTTATAATAAATAAGTGGTCAAAATTTTGAGTCGATCGGATTAATACTTTTTTAGTAATCGTGTCCACCGCAAAGGTAGTTTCGGAAAAACAAGATTCTGAGATAATCGCGTTTAAAGTTTCAAGTTTGTAATGGCCGATGTGCAGGTAGTGCGCTATAAATAGCTACACCTTCGGTTCTAATGCTCCGATCGTTATGATTTTTTGTAAGAGTATTCTCAACAGTATATACTTCAAGAATATGCAATAAAAAAATCGATTTTTTCATCTATCACAACTGTATATAACCCTTTAATAAAAATCCTAAAATTATTCTAAGTATGGGGTTTGAAAGATAAAGAGTGTATCTGTTAAAAAACTAACATCGAATCAAACCATGAATCCGTTTGCCTCTAAAAGAACCGGAAAACTAGCCAATTTCAGCATTTTTCGAACTTTGAGGTCCTTTTGCTAAGAATCCTTGCGTCGGGGACCTTTTTGGAAAACGCAGTTTAAGTTGGGGATTCGTAACGAATCCAAAAATGTAGCACCCATCGAGGTACATTTTTGATGCTGCCCCACCAAGCAACATATTGCAGCCCTGAACAGCGGTTTGCCGCGGCTGCGTTGGTTTATTTTCATTTCTAAGCTGGCAAGAATTTTAAAAGCGAGCCAAAATGCCGTCTGCTCTAGAGTACTTGCGAAGGTATAAACTGCTAGAGGCTAGGACGCAGAGGAGATCCTTACAAACGGTTTTACATGGTAGTCCATGGGGATTTAACTCATTGGCCAGGTCCTTTCACGCTGTGAAAAATCGTAGTATGCAGGTAGTTCATAAAATTCATTAGAGTTGTTTTAAATAAAGTCATAGATAATTCCACAACATAGATCCCACTTGGAATCCAGCGTCATAAAATCCGTTAAATCTAGGGTTTTTTGAGAAAAATATAATGGTATAATGCAGACTGGCCCTTTAGTCGAAATCCTACTTTTAGACTTAAAAAACGCTTTCGTTTGGTCATCTACGGTCTAATAAAATCCATTATTTTTCTCGTAATCGGCCATGGAAAGACAAATTTTTCTGCTTTTGAACCATGCCGATTGTGTCTTTCGTTCGCAGGATAAAAATGATTTTGTGTTTTCTTGGTAACATTGACAAAATAGGTATGAGGTAAAATATTGGAACCAGGGGGCTTTGCAATCAATGTGGTACTGTCCAGGCCGGGTTGATATGGAACGTCCCATATGGAGAAAGTAAATAAATCGAACTATCCTTTTATGTTTCAGTAAGGCAATCTCTTTAGCAAAGCTCTCTTGTACCCAGCGGCATAAGGTCACCTCGTCTGCCATTAATTCTTCGACTGTTAGTACACGTTTATAAACTTATTTTTTAAGCCAGATACTCTTTGCCCTAAGAAACCAAGCGACCACTCGTAAGTCGTAAGTCTGTAAGATGAATATTTAGTATAGTTGATTATTGGTAAGTTTACCTTGCAATTCAAGACTTCTTCTTCTTCTATCGCGTTGTTGCGTTGTTGCGTTGTTAAAGGGAACCATGGAAGGCCACACCGCATTAAGTGCCTTTAAAAACGTTGGGCCCTGTAACCAAAGGCTGCTGCTTGAGATTTTCAGAGTCGTTGATTGACGTGTGGCTGTATCTGCAGTATTGAAGGACGACGGTATCCATCTCCACTGTTTGGCGTTAGTTGTAGTTAAAATTTCAGCTATCCGATGTCCAACGAAAGGTATAAAATTTCGAGCCGTCGAGTGAATCCAATGTGCTTTTCTCAAGAATAGCTGCCTGGACTTAAAGTCTACATACAAAAAAAAAACTATGTAAAATTAACATAGAAAATAGGTATTTCACTATTTTCTGAATTTTTCATGTATTTTGTTGTTTTATTTTTTGGGTCATTGAATAGTATTTAACAATTAAAATAGTAGAAAACCTATTGTAACGAAACTTAGTCGCCCGTAGGGGTTTCCAAATTCGCCACTGTTAGCCGAGCGGATAGTTTTTAATGAGGTGGGGGTCAATCCACTTTACGACAACGTCAAATAACAAACAACGCAATAGTTCTTAAGGGTTATTTTTAAGTTTTTATTAGCCGCTTAATTAATCACGCTGGCAGTATGGCAGACAACCGGAAGAAGAGAGAGAGAGAGAGGGAAGGCGATCAGTGTGATCGCTTTTCTCCCAAAAGTTTTTGACCGGCTTTTTACAGGTCCTAGGGTGACCAGTCGTGCAGGGTTGCCAGGCGTCGGCTTTGGGTATGGTGCTGCCACCTGGGCAAGTATGGTGGCGCCACATAGGGGTAACTTTCGTTACATTACCCCCCTCTTAGACTCGAGTCTCCTGGCCGAGTTAATCCTTGATACTTGACCAGGCGGTTGACGTGAAGGGTCTTTGTCGAACGCTTGCCGGGTAGACGGACTTCATAGACCAGATCGGAATGTCGTCGGATGACGGTGGCTGGACCAATCCAATCCGATTGTAGTTTTGGGCATTGTCCAACTTTTCGAGTGGGAGAGTAGATCCAAACTTCCTCACCAGCGATAAACTCCACAGGATGGGATCGGAGGTCGTAGCGGGCTTTGTTGACTTTGGCCGCGGCTAGAAGATGTTCTCGGGCGGCCTGGTGTGTCTTTCGTAGGTTCTCCTGTATGCGCTCCACGTATTCGAGATAGCTTTGCAAATCGGGGGACGGACGTCCGTAAATCAGCTCTGCAGGTAGGCGGGGTTCACGTCCCAGCATGAGTAAGCCTGGTGAAAATCCAGTGGCTTCGTGAGGGGCTGAGCGATAGGCCCACAAGGCTAACAGTAGGAGTTGGTCCCAATCTCGTTGATCGGCGGCGACGAATTTAGCCAAATAGTCCAGCAAAGTCCGGTTAAACCTCTCGACCATGCCGTCTGATTGAGGGTGTAGCGGGGTCGTGCGGGTCTTTTCCACATCAAGAAGGCGCATACAGGTCTGAAAAACAGTTGACTCAAAATTGCGACCTTGATCCGAGTGAAGTACGAAATTCGCTCCATATCGGCAGAACACTTCCTGCACGAGGGCTTTGGCTACGGTCTCAGCAGTCTGGTTAGGGAGGGCGATGCATTCAGGCCATTTAGTAAAATAGCACATGACCACGGCTATATATCGGTTACCGAGCGATGTTGTAGGCAAGGGTCCCAGAATGTCGATCGCCAGGCGCTCAAAAGGGGCACCAATAGAACTTGGTTTCAACTGGCCCACCGTTCGCGGGGAGGGTCCCTTCCTTGCATTGCACTCGTGGCAGCGTGAACACCAGATGGCCACGTCTGCTGATTGACCAATCCAGTAGTACCGTTTCTTTGCTTTGCCAGTCGTCTTCCTGACTCCAAAGTGACCTCCAGTTGGCGAGTTATGAGCGTGGCGTAGGATTTCCTCTCGCAATGATTGCGGTACTAGCGTTACCTTCTCACCCGTTTTGCTTTGGGTCTTTATAACGCCATCTTCCAAGTGCAGGTTTGTGAAGGAGTGCCAATAGGCTTCTACTTCGGGGCTTTCGCCCCAAATCTGGGATTTGGGGGGTCTCTTTCCATCTTCCAACCAAGAGAGAACCAATGCTAGCGTTAAGTCCTTTCGTTGGAGTTGGGCGTAATCGACAGCTTCGATTTGCATGAAAAGGACTCCTGGGCTGTCGGACTGCTCAGCTTTCTCGCATACTCTGCATGCGCCACAGGGTCGGCGTGAGAGCGCGTCGGCATTACCATGCTGTTTACCGCTTCGGTGGTGAATGTCCATGTGGTACTGCTGTAGGCGTTCGATCCAGCGAGCTAGTTGGCCTTCCGGTTCTTTAAAGTTGAACAGCCATCGGAGCGACGCATGGTCTGTCCGCAAGACAAACTTTCGTCCGTACAGATAATGATGAAAATGTTTGGTAGAGAGAACGGCGGCTAACAGTTCTCTTCTTGTGACGCAGTAGTTGCGCTCTGCTGCGTTAAATGTTTTGCTGTAGTATTCCAAGACAAGCTCCTTACCGTCCTGGCATTGGCTGAGCACAGCTCCAGCGCCGTGATTAGAGGCATCAGTGTCGAGGATGAACAAACCATCAGGGTCTGGAAAGGTGAGAACTGGTGACGTTGTTAGCCTTACCTTAAGCAGGCTGAAGGCGCTTTGAGCATTGGCAGACCACGTGAAGGGGCGGCGGGCCTCGGTCAACTCATGCAACGGCCGGGCTATGGTCGCAAAGTCTGGGATGAACTTGCGGTAGTATGAGCACAATCCCACGAACGATCGTACTTCTTTCTGGTTGCGGGGCTGCGGCCAATC